TTTTTTTTTTTTTTTAATACTGGAAATTTAGATACTTTGTGATGCTATTTTGCAGGTGAATAGAAATATAAGTTTGGTTTATGGTGGTGGAAGTGTTGGGCTGATGGGTTTGTTGTCCCAGAGAGTGTATGATGGTGGTTGCCATGTTCTTGGGTAAGACTTTTGGAGATGAAAAAAAAAGTTGAAATTTTTATTATTCTGATCTAAAATTGGATTTTTTTTTGGTCAATATCATAGTTTTAACTTGATAGTTGTTTTGCCTTTTCACATGCAGAGTAATCCCAAGAGCTCTAGTCCCCATTGAGGTACATGGTCCTGTACTTTGCCACGTCTTTCCATGCATAATCGACATTTTAATCTCGAATCTTAACTGTGAAGATTGTAACATTTGGTCGAAATAGCTTGGATCTTGCTGTTTTCTGTGAATTTTGTTGGTTACCATTTTTACTTGTACATATTATGTAAGGGAACTTCATGGGGTGTTCGAAAATTAATTAAAATATTTGAGTGGTTATACGGTTGGTTATTGGTTAAGATCCATAAAGCAATATACGTAATAAGTTATATATCGATAGATATCAGGAGAGACTGTTGGGGAGGTCAAAGTTGTTTCCGACATGCACGAGCGTAAAGCGGAAATGGCTCGGGAAGCTGAAGCATTTATTGCTCTTCCAGGTAAAAACCATAAAATTGACAGAATAAGTGAATAGTCAAAATAGTAAGTACATCCTTTCTTTGTGAATAGTCTTAGTTTACATCTTATTTATCACTTCTTGAACTATTAGGAGGATATGGGACCATGGAGGAGCTAATGGAGATGATAACATGGGCACAACTTGGAATTCATAAAAAACCGGTGATACATCAATTTTTATATTTGCAAGTTTATAAAAAGTTAAATGCTTTTTTTTAAAAGAAAAAATACGAAATATTATTTTGGTATTGCAGGTTGGTTTGTTAAATGTCGATGGCTATTACAATGCATTGCTCACATTATTTGACAAGGGTGTTGAAGAAGGCTTCATAAAGCCAATTGCTAGGCAGATAGTTCTTTCGGCTCCTACTGCCAACGAACTTTTAACAAAGATGGAGGTAATTTCTATCTAAATCGTGCTTTTGCAAAAACTCGTGCGTTTTAGTAAATAAGTGCCTGCAAATGGATGCGAAAAGTGATTTTTCTTCGGCTGTAATTTTGTTTTACATATTTAGAGAAACCACAAATAGAATCAGAAATTTAAAACATCCAGTTTTAACGATATTTTTTTTTATATACTTCCAGCAATACACTCCATTACATGATGATGTTGCCCCTCGTGAGAGCTGGCAGATGGAGCAACTGGGTAGTTACCCGACCGAAAGGGAAATATGATGGGATTCTCTTTTATTTTATTTTTTTTTTTTTTTTCTGGTAGGCTTTTTTTATCCTTTACCAGATAAATAATACCTGGTGCCATCATTTCTGGTTGATTTTATGTATTAGATTTTCCTTATTCCATTTTCCGTAATTTTGAATTGGGACAGAAGTCATTTACTTTCTTTAGCGCGGTTATACTGCTAACGGGGTAATGAATAAATCAGAGGACTGTTTTTGTTTCCGTTTTCACGCTTTCTGTTCTCACTTTGGATGCTTCAAAATGCTCTTACAAAACAGTAGTTGAGTAATTTGCTCAAGATTTCGAATGTGAGTTAAACATTTTACAGAGATACATTTGTTCTTTGATGTGTATTTTCACTGTTTCACTGGTCGCATTCGATCTTTTTCAGCCGCGCAAAACCCATTTGCTTTTTGTTTAAGGGTGAGATCCTTGAGGTGGCCCCAAAATTCCGAATGGTCTTTCTTTTTTGTGGTTTGATAGGGAGTTTTCAGCTGGTGATGTTTTTGCAACCTTTCGTTTTTCTGTAGAGGTCAAAATAAGTATCAATTTGTCTTGTGATGGAGTTTTTAAGTTGGCTCCCTTTTGATGGGCTCTACTTAATTGAAGAAGGTTCTTAATTGAAGAAGGCAAATTCTAATTTTGTGTATTTGTAGAGTCTATTTATTAACTTTAATAACTATTTTTTTTTTCAAACGATAAAATTTTATATAAAAAAACACGTAATTACAACCGACTAACTAGCCGGAAAAGAGAAACCTACCGCCAAAAGATAGCCTACTACACAAAAGAAAAGCTATTTTTGGGATGTTTGAAAAAAAATAAAAAAATCTGAATATTCTCCTTAAAAACATCTACATGTATATAATTACTAGCTCATGAGCATTTAAGAAAACCTATTAAATTATACCTATGTGGCAATTTTAACATTTTCCCTCCAAAAACCGTTACTTTTGATTATTTAACCTTTCATTTAATTAATAAATAATCAACACATTAATCACTTTAAAATTATAAAAATTATTTCGAACTTTTGATTACTGACAGTTGACCATATAATATGTTGACCGTATAATGTGATTAGATGTTATTATTGTGGTTAAATGTAAATTAATTTTTTTGGAGAATAAAAAATGTATATGAAATTCCTAAATAAATAAAAAATAATTTACAAAAAAAATACGTACCAAAATATACATTACATTCAATCTAATACACGCAATTTAAAAAAAATATTCCAACTCCTTTAATTGTAAATTTGGCCTGCAAAAAAGTGAAAGAAAAATCATTAATCATGAAAGGCATAAGCGTTTTATATTTATATTTAGCCATACAAATAACTCGCAATACTTTATTTATATTTGTGCAAATGCACAGGTCGAATATTAGTGTTAAGATAATGACAAAAGATGTTTTTAACTGACATACCTACATAATCGCAATCCTAATCCTAAACTGAATTAGAGCAAAACGAATTCGCAATTTACTTCAAACATAGCATATTTGTCGTCTCTAGCTAAGGAAGGAGCTTTCGTACCCATCACTCCAACAGCCAAAACCCTAAGGTTATTTTCCGGAAATTTATCTATTTCTAGAAAAAAAAAAAAAAA